CTGTCAGATGTACCCGGACTAGTATTATGAGACTCCTACTACCTGCTCTACAAACCAGCACACGAACTCTTCCTGCAGAGACCTACAGTGATCTTTCCAAAACACAAACATTGCCACGCCTTTCCCCTACTCACTTCCCTCAGTGGCTTCCCACACTTAAGATGTAAACTCACAGCACGGTCCACAAGACCTGGCCCTTCATAGTCTCACTCTCCACGTTCCCCCTGGATTGACCTTCCAGTTTCTCACCTTATCCTTGCTACTTCGTGTCTCAGAAACTTTGCCCGTGCGGCCCCTGTCAAGATTGCTCTGTCCCACCCCCACCCCCCAATTCAACAGCTACTCTTGTTCAATCTTTAGATTTCAGCTCAGAAGGCAGTTATTAAATAACTGATGATGGGAGGATGTACAGAGATGACCGGCCACACTAGTGGAAGCCCATGAACTATGGACTGGTGGCTGTGGAGCCCCCATGGGACTGGACTAGGCCCTCTGGATACGGAAGATGGTTGTTTGGCTCGAACTGTTTGGGAGGCACCCAGGCAGGGGGATCAGGATCAGTCCCTGGTCCATGGGCAGGCTTCTGGGAATCCGGTGCCTGTGGTGTGATGCCTTGCACAGCCTTGGTGCAGTGGGAAGGGGCTAGGACCTGTCTAGGCTCAGTGTGCTGGGCTCTGCTGACTCCCCATGGCGGACCTCGATTTGGGGGATGTGGGGATGCAGGGTGACTTGGGAAAGAGGGCTGGGGGTGGGAGGAGGGGGGATCTTTGGATGGTATGTGGAGTGAGTAGAAAATTTCTTAATAAAGAAAAATTAAAAAAAAAAAAAAAAGAAAAAGACTTGCATGCTCAGACCTCTCTGTTTTCTTACCTCCTAAGGTTTTTCTTAACACAAGGGTATACACATGCTTCTTCCGGAGCATAATTGTATTCATATATTTGTGAAGACTTGACTAACATGTGCTTTTCCCACTAGGCTGCAAGACCCATAATGTCAAAGCAGGAAGTGTTTCCTTAATTGTTAGCACCATATCTAGTATACAACAGGCATTCACAAACGTTTGAATAGAGCCACAAAAATAATCATATAATAGAGTTGTAGATACAGCTCAGTTGACAAAATGTATGCCTGCCATGCACAAAAGAGTCCCTGGCACACCACAAACCCAGCATGGTGATACATGACTGCAATCCCAGCACTTAGGAGGGAGAGGCAGAAAGATCAAAAAGCTCAAGGTCATCTTCAGCTACGTACAGAGTTCAAGACCGGCCCGAGCTACAAGAGACCCTGCCTTCAAAAAAATAAAATATAAAGTAAATCAGACTGAAATGATAAGGTCACTTTAAATATCGGTCACCCCAGAGAAACAGCAAGAGGCTCAGACGTAAGAGGGAATTTTTGTCTTCACCTCGCTTGTTCCCCAAATTAAAGCAAAAAAATCTTCAAAGGACTCTTTAGTTCCAGTAAACCCAGCAGTACAAGACAGAAGTGGCCCTAGCTGAACAGAGCCACAAGCTGGTGGCAGCAGAGGCAGAACTTTCATTTGGTAAGGTAGGTCGTTCTGGTCTACCTCGGGCCTTCTGCAGGGATCAAAAGAGGCCACGTACAGACCCACATCCAAGAGAAGCAGGTTCTCACCAAGGATGGAAGTATCTGCCGTCACACTGTAAAAGTACCACAAGGCAGAGGGAAAACCCAGGAGGCCGCATCTGAAAGTTCCCTAACTGTTCCCCCAACACTGGTTCTCAAGAACCCTCAGGTTGACTTTTACTTTAGGGAAGTAACAGTCCTTGATTTACACTCTTATGACATCACATCTTAAATTGCTTTAGGTTACTATTTACTATACGTCATTGATGTCTCCTGACACATAACATTCTCTTTAATACTGTGCTGATAAATCTTGGAAAGTCTCAGTTTATCTTTGGCAAAAAATAGAAATGACAAGTTATACTAGGTCCTCTGACAAACTTACCAAATACAGTGAAGAAAAAAATTAAGCTACGCTCCCTTCATAGACAGGTGGGCACTACAGTTTATTACATATCAGCACTAATAAGCTATCTAGAAAAGTGTTATGATATATCTCCACTTCTTTTTCCAGCTTCTCGAGACTAGAGTCTCCTGTAGTCCCCGCTGGCCTTTAACTTGATATATAGCCAAGAGTGTCAAGATATATCAGCCGCCCAAATGCTGGGATTATTGGCAGGCTTCACCTTGCTGGGCCCAATCATGGCTCTAAAAGGATCAGAACTACAGGACATTTTGAACGCAAGTAACTTTGGCGGGTTTTCTATTTCCTTCTCAGAAAAATAGGGGTTAGGATGTCCAGCATTATATACAGTGCTTTTATATAAAAGAGTATTTGATGACTTGAGAAAAAAAATAAATTTCAATATTCATCTCAACCAAATCACTTTGAGAGCAAAAATGATTTAAAAAGAAAAAAAAAATCAGCCATCACTCCAAACACACCGAAAAGGGAAATGTAATTGTTTTATCGATGTAGGTGACCTAGGTGGGACCCCAGTAAGGTCAGTCTCAAATACTGCATTTTACAAATTAAGCTGTGACATCAGCAACAACTGATTAGAGGACCTCCTCCTAGGAGTCTTCTTGGTCGGTCGTCACCAGCTTTTACACTCAACTTCCTGACGCTAACTTTCCAAAAGTTAATAAAGTACATCATGGAGATGCAACGCTGATTTTTACAGAAGGCACTTGACTACACAGACTCCTCCCACGGCAGCTCAGCTTCTGTGTCCCGGAATCCTGAAGTGTCCTCCACTCCCTTCTGGCTCTGACCTGAACTCGAGGCAGTGGGCATGGGGGGTGGGGGTGGGGGGCTTGGAGTGGATGGGGGGTGGAGGATGAGGAACTCGAGGGGGGCTCTAACGGCTCCTTTTGCCGAGGGGGGTGGGGGTGAGTCAGGCCGGGGAGGTGGGAGCCGCGGTGCAGTTCGCGCCGCCAACTGCTGGGTGAGCGTAGCGCAGTGGCCGGATCCCGGTAACTAAAGTTCCGAGCAGCTTGACTAAACCCTCAAAGCCAGGCACTGTCAAGGCTAACACCAGCGCCGCCGAGGGCGGCAGACGGATGCGTCCCAGCGGAGCGCGCGCCTCTCGGCATCAGGCTGATGGAGCAGGCAGCGAGGGGGCGGCCAGGAGCCGGGACAAGTTAGGTCCTCGGCCGGAGCAGCCCAGCCAGGGCCCCGGGGTCGGGGGAGAGGTGGCCGCTCCGGATCCGCAGGACAACGCGGGAGCGCCGCCGCGAGGGGACCCCGGGTTCCCCGGCGCCCGAGTTGCGGGGACACCGATCCCGGTGCGGGGAACGCCGATCCCGGTGCGGGGAACGCCGATCCGAGTGGGAGACCCGGCTCTCTCTCCCCTGTCCGGGAATCGGAACGGACAAGCGGGTGCGGGGCGAGGCCTCAGCCCCACGTTCGCACCCGGCTCCCGGCCACGGGAGTTGCAGGGAGGCGGTGCCGTGGGCTGGAGCCCGACGCGGATAAGCTGGGGGCGCCCCCGTGGCGAGCACCCCGGGCTGGGCGGGGACGTCCGGGGAGGCTGGACCGCGGGGCCTGCTCCACCGGACCACGGCGGCGGCGGCGGCGGCATCTCGCCTCCTTCAGGCCTGCGCGCGCCACAGGCCGCAGCGGGGACCAACCCCGCGTCCTCCCGCCGCCACCCGCGGGGCTCGCAGCTCCCGAGTCGGACACCGAGGCTGGAGCCTCGGTTCCCCGGGGAGCCGACTCTGTCCCGCGATTCCCCATCCCGGCAGTCCCGGCGTTAGAGCGTCCGCCTTAGCAGCCGCTGCTG